GAGGGAGGGAGAGAGAGAGAGAGAGAGAGAGAGAGAAAGAGAGAGAGAGAGAGAGAGAGAGAGAGAGAGAGAGAGGAGAGAATCCATCCTTCCCTTGAGCCTGCTTTCCCCTCTAGTTGCCCCCTCTCTCTCCTTCCCTTTAATCCTAGATTTTTTCAAAGCCTCAACTTTAAACTCTGCCTCACATTTACTTCTCATCTCACAATCATCTGTCTTCCCTTGACTGTAAGCTCGAGAAAGAACCTTCCTACAAGGCTGCCTCATGTGGTCTGCCCTCTCTGAAAACCACCCTCATTTACAGCCAAATTGCCAATGCTCTTCTAACTGCAAAATGTCAAGGCCCCTCTCCACATTTCATCCGCTCCAGTCTCTTGGAAGCAGCTGTTCCTGTCGAACTCCTCTACTGTGGTGAAAGTTCTTCCCCGAGCTCCCCCCAACTCTGAAGCTGCCTCTTCTCCAGAGTCCCCTCATCTTCCCGTCCCTGCTCAACCACTCTCTGGGCGAACACATGGCCTCCCCAGCACCAACATGCCGGTGGCTCTGAAATCTCCCTCACCGCCCCCATCTGTGGAGAGCCCTGTCACTTCCTTAGAGCAAGCAAGTAGAAGTCCAGGTTATTATCTCTTCCAAACACCTCTAACATTTCTTCATTTCTTGAAATGAATGAATGAATGCTCAAGATGCTCTCTCTGTTCTTGGCATCACCATCTGCTGGGTCACCCAGGGCAGAAACCACAGAGTCGCCCTGGATCCCCTCCCTACCCTCACTCCCCCTCACCCCTTCTTAGGTCTCTCTAACATACCCTTCTTTCCAGCCTCCAACCTACTTTAGGACCCCCTTAGCTTCCTAACCCCTGCAATGCATTCCACCCCCAACTCCCATTACATTTTCTTTCTCAAACATAAATTGTTGCCATCACTCACCTGTCTCCCACCACCTACAGAATAATGTTTAAGCCCCTGAGCGTGTAACAGGGGCTCTGTGATCTTACCCTTCCGGGCCTCATGGCTTAGCTGTAATAAATTTCTGGGTAGCTTTCTCTTTGCCACCTCTACCAGACCATTGTATACTTCAACTGTTCACTCATTCAATCAATAAACACTTATTAGGTGCATACTGTGCCCCAGATATTGTGAGAGGCTTTAGAGATTCCGCAATAAGAAGCACTATCCCTACCCTCAAGGAGCTTATAACTAACGGCAGACAAGGCATTGTTATAATGTTCTTATTACAATATGAGATAAATATTTTCAGTTGTTTAATGAATAAATGCTCAAGTTACTCTCACTGTGCCTTTGTTTCCGCATCTTAAAATGTAGATAATATTGGTTTTTTATTCTCAGAGGGTTGCTATAAAGATTAAATGAGTTAATGTTTGTAAAGTGCTTAGAGTGGTTTCTGGCATTTGATAGTGCTGAGAGTGTTCCCATTTATATTATTACTGTGCCTTGAGCATTGTGTATGGAGAGTTATGTATGACAGTTGCCTGAGCAGCTTGGGGGGGAGGTGGAGGGGATCAGAGATGTTTTTTCCGGAGGAGGTAATACCCAAGTGGGATCTGAAAGCCTGAGTTAGACAGAACCAAAAGATGTAAAAGGGTAGTCCAGGCAAAGAAACGGGGTGCAGATAACACTGGGGAGACAGAGTGAGGTGCATTCAGGGAATTTTTAGGTAAAAATGAGATGATGGCAATAAATGAGGTGGAGGAGGCAAACTGAAGGCAGATTGCAAAGGATTTTCCTTGTATGCCTTGATAAACAGTACAGATTTTACTCTGAAGACAAACTTTTGCTTCCAATTGAGATATTGAAGGGTTTTAAGGAGGGTAATGATAGAATAATATTTCCATTTAGGAAAGCTCATTATAGCAGCTCTGTATAGGCACCATGAAAATGAAAGCAGAAATACTACAAAGGAGGCTTATATTAAGCAATTCCCATAGGAGGTGATGGGGCCTGATCTAAGATGGGTCAGTGGGAATGGGAAGGAGATAGATGGAATCTCCTCTCCGGCTCCCTGAAAGCCCCCTCCTAACACCCCCAGGCGAACTTAGCTACCTCTGTGATCCATCATCTGTCACTTACATCCTAGCCTGTGAGTTCCTCAAGAACAGGAAATGGGTCCTTTCACCTTCATATCCATATTTAGCACAGTGAGCTAGCAGGGAGGTCTCCCAGGAGGTGGCTACATGTTTACAGAATAAAGTCTTACAATGAACGTTTTGTAAAGAAGGGGATCATGATCACCGACTAAGATATAACTAGTTTATTTTCTTATCCTTTTACTTTTTCAATATGTTTAGCCAGCAATACAGTCTTGCACTAATAGCTGTCCTCAAGCTCCACAAAACAAAATTTTCTTTGTTTGAATTGTTTAATTTAATTAAAATCAACAAACCTATTGAGTATGTTATAACTGAGAGGTACTGTGCTGTGATATATAGTGATTTAATTTTTTTCCTCTACTAAATATATTAGATATTCCTCAACTAATACACAAAAACATTACATGCTAAAATTATTTTGAGAAGATAATTAATGTTTTAATTAAAAGTAGATAGGGCCAAAATAAATATATAGTTTATAGCACCAATTATTTTCCTTATTATTTCCTAACAGCAGTAAGCCATCACTTTGTTAGCATTCTTTGTCACCTTATCTTGGATGGACTGATACAATTTTAATGAATTAGGTACTAATTGAAAAGCTCATTGTTTTTCTTCTAGTCCTGGGCTGTACAGTATTTTTTAATAACACCCACACCTACCACCATGTAAATCATATTCACATACAATACTACTAGAGAAGGCATTTTTTTCCTTACTGCTTGAGAATTTTTTCCCCACTGGTTTCTGTTGGCTTTTTCTTTTCATTTTAAATGAACTCAATGCAAATAATTCATTTACAATAGAAAAGACTCAAAAATTCAAGGCTTAGAAGAAATCAGTTTTTAGATAATTGGTAAACAATAAAATTAGACATATCCTTTTCTGACACTGTGCATTTTTCAGGATATTAATAGTTACTGCTATATGGTGTTCTATATTTTCAGGAGTGTGAATGTTTTCATAGTCTGGAAAAAGATTCACATTATGATAGAATTTTTGAGCCTACGTGCGAAGGCACGTTTTAATATTTGCATTCTCAAAAGCCACAGAATAAAAATCTGTTTAACCCAAGAATACTGATAATATGTTTGAAATTAGAACGGAGTTTTCTGATTTAAGTATTATGTATGTAACCAATCAGAAGTTTGCCACTAATAATCATTAAGCATCACATTAAAGCAATGTTGTGATACATATATTACAATAATAAATGACACTTTCTTAGGCCTTTTAAAAACCAGTATAATTTTCCCTATTTCTCTCTCTCTTAAACCCACTAGATTTTCATTAGTAAAAAGATAATTAGTAGAAATTTCCTTTAAATTCAATAATGCAATTCTTAAGTTAACAAATTGCCCCCAAATGTCATTCTAAAAATTAATGATATGCCTATGATGACCAATGAAAATGGCACGACATTTACAAAGACTGACATCAAATGTTTTCATTGTCAAGATGCTTAAATCAAGGAATGTATCTATGGGCAGGACAAACCTGCATTCAATCTACCAACATTTTTGGAAGGCTGTTACATGCCAGGCACTATGTCAGCTTCTGGGGAACCAAAGATCCTTAAGGCATAGTCCCTATACCTGAGAAGCTCAGTCTCTCAAGGGTAGCATTCACCATTCACGAATTTGGGTGGAAACTCAAGGGGTAGGAGGAACAAATTTGCATGGGAGAAAGGACCCTTGTTTTACCTTTTCACTGTGGTGTGTTTATGTGTGCATGTGTGAGTGAGAGTCTGGTATGGATGAGTCTGGGTATGTATGTGGTAGCCAAAAACCAGAAATCACTTCAAGTTTCTTAAGCCCCTATCATACATATCTAATATTATGTAAAATTTAATCTAAACTGATACAGTTTCTATCCACAAGTCTGAAATTAATAGTGCACATAGCTGAAACATGACCATAGATACTACACACATGATCATGTATAACATCAAATATTAAAAGCAATAATCAGAAATATTTTCAACAAAGTTGACAAAAAATTTAAGTGGTAAATTAAGCAGATACATTTTTGTAGAATTCTAAAATCACTACTAAGATTTGTATTTCCAGAATAACTAAAGGTAATTTGTTAGAAAAAATTATGAAAATAAGATAAATTCTTTTGGTTTGGTTTGGTTTGCTCACATTTAATATTTTGAAAAGTCTATAGACCTTCATCAATAATTACTAAATAAATAATTATTAGGAATATGAAGGGGTCAATACTTCAATTTTTAAAGCATCATGAGCAAGTGACAATAACGAAATGCTTACTTTCTACATAGAACATAAGACCTACTATGAATAATTTGGACATACTCAACACGAACAAATCCAATATGACTCTTACCTCCTTGTTCACACAACTGCTGGGCTAACGCATCTTTGAAAATAACCTGGCCCCTGTGTGTTGCTGTAGCCCTGGAAAGAAACAGCAAAATGTTAATTCAAATCTTGTAATATGTTTGTTGATAATGTATTTGTTAAACTTTGTTTTAAAAAACCTTATTCTTAAACTTTATTTTATGGGTATGATTTTTAAAAATGAGTGCATCTGAACAGTGATATAAATGGACAATAGAGTGAAGGCTCAAGGCACCTGGGTTGAGAATCGTCTTCCGGTTTTACTTTTTAAAGATATTATAACATTTGTGGGCTTATTCCGAAAACAGCAGATGTGAATAAAGCCTGGATAGAGGAAAAATTATGGAAAGGATGCTTATTAAAATTTCTTCCTTAGGAGACCTTGATATAAAATGTTTTGTGAAGCAATACTGATAGTAGTACTGGAGAAAGATGCTCTTAAGGTACTTTTCTCTGAAATCAATAGTCGCCTGTAACACATAGAGGGTTGAGGCAGAGAGTTACATTTTTAAAAAGTATTTTCAAGAAAAGAGGGCTATTCAAAGCTTTCATAATAACAAAATCTGTCATAATAAAATACACCCATTTGAAGGCAATTCAACATTTAAAGGACATGTGCATCTTTTACCTCTTCTAATCAGAGCTGTGCACATGGATGGGAGAAAAAAATAACATTCTTGAGCAGATGTGTTCGTCAATGGCTATAATAGGAAATGTCTTATTAAAGGAAGAATTATTTATGCTTTATACATGAAGTGTTCTCCCTTAAAAAAATTTTTCTGGCACAAAATGTATTATTTAAACAAATTTAAGGCAGAAAATCATGTCTCCTTAAGAAACTTGATTTTAGAAAATAAGCCATACAAAACCTTTTCAATAAAAAAAAAATTAATGTTAAATCTTGACTTGAGTTTTAGCCAAAACCACCCTAGGACAGAAATCTGATTCAGCCATCATCTGCTTAAGATGGATGATGTACAAGGCACTGTGCTAGCTCACGAGAGGCCTCTGAATTTCCCCTCGATATATGCACCCTTCAGTCCACATCTTTTCCTTTGCTGGGCCCAGTAGGGTTTCCTGGCTCCCAACATTCCTTGCTCTGGCCCCCATGAGGATGAACCTTCCCCCTCCCTGCTTCAGACCATTCTGAATTCCGTCCTGATGGAATTGTTACTATCCCCTCGTGACAGTCCCCCAGCACCCAATTCTTCTAAAGTAATCTGATAAACCAATCCATGCCGAAGTGTTAATGGATGATGCTGCTCCAAGCTAACATATTTTAGCAGTGAAACTGTGAAAATATTATGGCTTAAAACACACACACACACACACACACACACACACAATGGCACAATAGTGAGAGTTTTGAATGGTGGAAGGGAGTATATAATTGGAGAGAAAGATCATTGGGTGGCTTTCAACTCACACCATATGTGAAGCCTATAAGGGAAGTCAGCCCTTGTTGCATGTTAATAGTTAGCGAAATAACACAAAGCCAGATGCCAGCATTCTCTCTCTATATTCACATATGTTTATAGGTTTTCCTTTGCTTTCAGCAAGCTGAAAATGAGAAGGACTAAACACGGGGCCAGTCCAAGCCACAAGCATAGCCTACAGACTCGCTAAGCAGTGCAGGTTTTATGTCCAGAGGGAACACAGTAACTTAATTTACCCAAATACATTGTTCAAATCAATTGAGCCAAGAATGTCTGAGTTCACATAAACTTCAAATAACAACACAGCAATCATAAATGTAGAATTTTAATCTGACATCTTCTTTGGAAGGGATACGTTTTCTAAAATCACTAACCACCAAGAAAAGTCCTACAACATATAGTGTTTAAATAATTGTTCAGTCTGGTTGTCTTGGTGGTAAGTATGTAATATACTTTTGGTGGTTCACAAGCGTTGTGATCATTCTGCCAGCCTATGCTCCCATGAACATGGGTCAAATTATCAAACTAAGATTCGTGTAACAGAGGTTTCCCTTTTCTCTGGATCTTAGTGGATACTGAAATATCTTAGGCACTGCACAGTGCCTTGTGAATACCCACACTGTTTTTCCCTATCACTCGGTTTTCTCATATTTAGGATTTGTTGCTTTCATTCATATTCTTATGTCTGCTACTTTGGTGCAATCGAGAAATTCTGTAAATTTCTGAAGAACAATAGAATAACTGAAACTGAAGATCATCTAGTCACAATTTCTTTAGCAGTGGTACTCATTCTTCAAACAAATATGAAATTCCAATATATAAAACAGAGGAGCCCTGGCTTTTGAAGTTGTGGGGCTCCCTCTTCTCATCCATCATGCTCCCCACCACCCCTTCCCCAAATCTGCCTGATGCACTTCTCTGGAATTCCTAGGCTTGGAGGGAGCAGAGTTACAAAACCACTGAACTAGTAAGAGTACTAGTCTAACTCTTACAGTGTATGGATCAGGAACCTGAGAGCCCAGGGAGGATATTAACCAGGTGAAAGTCACACAGCCTGTAAGTGGCAGATAGGATCCAATTCCAGGTCTTTGATTCTGGGTCTTGGATCCTTTCCATTGCATCAGTAGTTTTCCAAATGTGCTCCTAGTGGTGGCCTAGGGTCAAGAGAGGGAGAGGGCAGGGAGTGCTTCAGGCACCAATCAGTTCTACCAGAGCTCCTGGGCTTTATATGTTCTTATTAATTATTTAATTTTGTCTGAAGAAAGGGCTCGGCAATTAAAAGCCAGCTTGAGGAGCACTGTGCACCACATGCTCAATGCCATTACCTGAAGTCCTTTGCTTAGGAAACTTAGAAGGAGGAATGACGATAATGTGGCTGGTATACGTAATTATTATTATACCTGTTATGAATTGAAATTTACCCCTTGTTAGGCACTGTTACAAGGTTTTACATACATTGACTCAATTCATCCTGACAACAGCCCTATGAGGTAGATACTATTATTTCTATTTTCCTGGGACACACAGCTATTGCATGATTTACAAATGTCACTCAACCAGTGGTAAAGCCAGGATTCAAACCCAGGTGTTCTGAGTATAGAATCCTTGCTTTTAAGCATTACAGCAAAATTTCATTAGCCTGGTTCAAAGATAGAAGGGTAGCTTTCAATTTCTTTTCAGAGGGAGACCTGCTTTGAGGGCCTGATCTTCAAAGCCATGTCTTCTCTGGCTTCTTCTCTCTACTCCAACCCTTCAGGCTACAGCTAAGCCCTTTTATTTAACCTCCTCTTGGACAAACAAACTTTTCTGTTTCTGTTGGAACCTTGGCCACTTGGCCAGCAATTCCTTGGGATCTGTCCTTTAAAATACCATTTCTCCTGACCCCTTCTCCATGGTGCTCTGTGAGTCCCTCCACTTCTACCAGCTCACTGTAGCTCCCTTTCAACTCTTTGTCACATTTCCTCCAAGAGCCCAGGACCCCTCGCATCTCTTCTGTCTGCGCCAGATACAAGAGTACTGGAAGCCTTTCTTAGCCATGCTGTTGCCTGGACCCTGTGTGATACCCAGGATCCAGAAGCCTGTCAACAGACAATCAGCATATGTACCACTTTCCTTCCAAACCTTTAAAACCCTCAGATAACATTTTAATATAAAAATGTCCCACCCTATAGTAGATGCATGGTTAGTAGTTGTGAAGGTCTGCATATTGGCATCTTATTTTGGGGAGAAGAAAGAGCAGAAGCCCAGTAACCAGCAAGAACTTAGGCTTCATTGCTTCATCCCATGAGACATCTGCCCTACTCTCCTTAGCATGTGGCTAATGTCAGTAATCACAAGCCAACTTTGAACATATTTAGAGCTATGAAATATTTCATGGTGGTTTACCTACAGAATCATAGCATTTATTTAAAATCTTTTATGGAAATATATATTTCATTATATGATATAAATATTATATATATAATTGCTAAAAGCACAGTAATAAAATTAAAAGACTCTAGAGGTCAGATCTTCCAATTTTTTTAATTTTGTTTTTTTACATTGACAGATAAAATTGTATGTAATGCTGTGTATAATATGATGTTTTAAAGTGTATCTACATTGTGGAGTAACTAAATCTGGCTAATTAACACGTGTATTACCTCACATAGTTATCATTGCTGTGGTGAAAACACTTTACATCTACTCTCTTAACACTTTTAAAGAATACAACATATTTGTAACTATAGTCGCCATGTTGTACAATAGATCTCATGACTTCATTCCTCCTGCCTAACAGAGATTTTGTATCCTCTGACCAACATCTCCTCAACAACCCCAGTCCCTGGTAACCATTATTCTACTCTCTACTTCTATGAGATCAACGTTTTAGATTCCAAGTCCTCTAATTTGTAACTCACAATATATTTTTTATAAGAATATATAGCTATGGTATATGGTGACATGCCTTATTCATTTTCATAACCATTTTTTTTGTAATGTATAACTCTTTTTTGGGGGAGGTCCATCAAATTTATGGTGCTAATAACTATGTCAGTACTGTTTGCACTTAATTTTCCATAATTAGCAATAATTTTTCAAAAGAGTTCAGAAAATATCCTCATTGTTCACTGTTCTGGGGAGTAGACCAAATTTCTTAAACAAGTTTCTAATAAGTACTTATCATCTTCTGGGAGATGCACAGAACTCTAAAGCATGCTTGCCAACAAGAGACCGTATTAACTAAGTGATTTTAAAATCCTTTGGGCTGTTATAACCTATCATTTGAAAAGCTCTATAGATTCTCCCAAATGAAGAAAGTTCATTACAATGTCCATAATTCAATGTTTGAATAGCCTTTGTTGTTATGATTTTAAAAGAGCATATGATATTTTCATCTTAACTGAACACCAGAGCAACTGTTTGCCCAAAGCATTTAAGAATTAAGCGTGCATTGTGCTGTAGCATAGTACTGAAGTTTACAGTCTCTGTAATCAGAAAGACCAGCGCTAGGACACAGTGAGGTGCCACTTACGAGCTATATGACTTTGGACAAATTCTTTAATCACTCTAGGCCTTAGATTCCCTACCAGAGGGTAGGGATAACTTGAAATAATAACTATTACTTAAAGATATTAATAT